CGGGACCTGAGCCAGCGCATCCCCATCATTCCAGAGGATGTGGACTGTGAGTTGGGCCTGTCCTTGGACTGCCATGGAACCCACGGCCTTGGCCCTTGGGGTGGGACGCCGGGCCTGGACGCCCTGCGGCCCCACAGGGGTCTGGGAGCAGCTCAGGAAGAAGAGCGGGTTCTGTGCTGCCAGGCCAGGGCACCGCTGCCCCCTGGATGTCTCCTGGAGGAGGCAGGGGCCACCAGGGCCAACTTCCCCGGTGCCTCCCAGGACACTCAGGAGTCCAACGCCACAGCCACTGAGGCTGCAGGTGAGAGCAGGAGATGACAGTAGGCCAGAGTCGGGGTCCTCTTCTCTCTCTCTGGTGGTTTTCTAGGTGACTTCCTTTGTGTCTCTGACTTTAAACACCGTCTGTACCTGATGACTTCCCAGTGTTATTCCCCAACCCAGCCTCCTCTGAGTTCCAGACCCACCGGGCCCTCTCCTTCCATGATTTCTGCCCCCAAATGCTACATAAGCATCCCATCCTCATGTCCACAGCAGCACTCTTGAGTTCCTCCCTCTGGGCCCGCCCTTCTCCAAGGCTCCCCACCCAGCTGCTCAGGCCAAAAGCCCAGGCACCATCCCCGGGCCTGCCCTGTCGCTCGCTCACCTGTGTCCTGGGCTACTCCACCTGTCTGTGAGAACCACATTTGTTTGTTTTCCCCCTGTCCAGAAAACTGAACTCCCAGAAAAATGAAACCGAGCAAAAGACATGCAGAATCCAAGTCCAGAATTTATTATTAGACTCAGCAGACATTGCCAAATAACTATAAAATTTCCTAACATTTTGTCTCAGTAATTAAACTGTGCAGGCCAGACCTTGTAGCACTACAAGTTCCACCTCAAAACTGTATTCCAAACTTATCTACTGTGCCTCCCCACCTGCTCTCCCCTCCGTCGGGCCCATTTCCTCTCTCGGGGGGAGGACAGTAGCCTTCTGACTGGTCTGTCGCAAGTCTTGTGTTCCTCATGGCAACCAGGGGAGTGTTTTTTGAAACATAGGTCTATGTCTTTACACTAGAAAACCCTTCAGTGACTTGCCATTTCCTTTCGAATTTTAAAACTGTAAACTCTTCACCCAGTTCTATATGATCTGGCCCCTGCCTACCCCTCTGACCCCCTCCTCCTCTGCTCCCCTCCTTGCCCTATGGCCTCAGTCCTGTTCCTCCAACGTGACAAGTTCCAGCCTCCATACCCCTCTGCCGCTTCTCTCCTCCAGATCTCAGCTTAAATGACGCCCTCCAGCCCCCTCCGAGGTTACTCTCCCACTGTTTCCTTACTTCCCAGGTTATCACAATCTGAAATTATTTTGTTTTGGGGTCTGTACACTCTGTGAAGGGGTCTTCTCCTCTGCTCTTCCCAGTGCCTGCCACAGTGCCTGATCCACATCTTTTCATGCTATCTAAGGGCTTCCAGAAGGCTCTGCACATCCAGTTGCGGGGAGGCCAGCTCTCTAGGAGGCATGTGTGCTCCTAGCACAGAATGAGGAGCTCTCGGAAACGGAGCGCTTCTTCAGCCCTTTACCATATGCAGTCTGTCCAGTCTTAGGAGCTGTCACTTCCGGACAGCCTGCCACACGCTGGGGACAGGCACCCAAGTCCCTTACCTGGTCCCCGTGCGGAGCCCCCGAAGCCTGCCATGCCCGCTCCCTCTCCTGATGATTGTTCTCTCTCCCCCAGGACAGAGATCTCACCCAGCAGAAGGTGGCGGCAGCCCGGGTGCCTGAGCCCAGAAGGAACTCTTATGTGGAAATGGGAACTGCACGGAGACTCCAAATTCTGACTTCCTTCAGAAAAAACAGAAAATTTTTTTAGCTTTGACAAACACACAAAAGTGGTAATAAAGAGAGCCCTCCTTCTCAACCCAAAATGTGAGCCACCTGTGGCAAACCCTCCCCCCACAATTAACAAACCAACAGACACAATTCTCTGAGTCCTTTGCCTCTTTTGATAACATGTTATTCTTCTGTTTTGTAAAGTGTGTGTGCTTGGGGTTCCGAGGTGTGTGGGATTGAATTCTCTGCTTTGTTTTTTAAGATATTATATGTAAATGTAAAAAGTTATTTAAATATATATTTTAAAGAACCCTAACCGCCAACTTTTGCTGAAAAAAAAATCACTGCTGCATTAATTGAACCACACCATGTGTAGATACTGTTGTCTCCCCAGAGGGAGCTCAGGCCTTTGAAAAGCTCAGGGCTACACCTGCCTTAGAAAATGAACCAGAAACTTGAAGTAAAGCTAGTTGATATGGGTACAAACTCTGAGGAACAATGCAATGCTGCCTCTTTCTTTCTCGTGGCAAATCCCAACGTACAAACTTTCAGGTTTCCTGGGAAGCCATGCCCCTCCAGCCCACACCTTTAGGCAGCTGATGGAAACAGCTAGGAATAGGGCGGAAGGTCTGCAGCACTGGGGAGCCGGGAGGAGCCGTTGCTACATAAGCCCCATGGTGACAGGGACGCTTCTGCCCACTGTCCTCAGTCTGTCCCCTCGGGTCATCGTTCTAAGTAAAAGGACAATTCACAATCCTGATCTTGGGCTTCCTACCACTGGCTGCAGAAATGGTTTGACGGGGTGTGTGGGGACAAACACCCAGGAGGAATGTACTTTTGCGGCCTTGGTGTCCGATGGGGCTGGGAGAGAGCGCTCTCGTAACCCGGAGAAGGGACGGAGGGCGCGCCGGAGCGTGCCTCTGCGCATGCGTCTGTGTGGGCGCAGCCACGCCCCTCGGCTGCTCAGGCCTCGGGCTGCCTTCCTGGGGGCGCAAGGCTGGGACCCCGCGGGGTCTGCGCGAGCTCCGCTTGAAGATACGGCTCCCATCCCACTTCGCCACCGAAGCACCGCTTCAGGGTTATTCAGGCCTCTGCCTCATGGCTGAAAGTGTTCATCTCGCCTGCAAATGTCTACTATCCTTTTTACCTAATGCACTATTATGTTTTGGTTTTCCATGAGACAGAGAAAGAGACTATCAGATAGTTTAGACCCAAAGGGTAGGTTTTTGTATATTTTTCCAGCCTTTTGTTGTTGTTTTTTAAGAGGGAGGGAGAGTTAAAAACCCAAACCATTTCTTTTTAAAGATGTTTCCATTTTAAAAGGGAGAATCTATTTAAAGCTATTTCAGATCAGGGATTGTCATCCTTTTTGTCCAATGTATTTCTTGTTCTAAAAAAATTTTTTTTAGAAGAAACTAATCACATTAGCCTTGTGCTTGCTGACTCTTCTGGTCACTTTTATTTATTCATTTATTCAGCGGATATTGTCATCTGAAATGCTCATATGCGGACTAGGAACCTTTCGACCTGGCCCCCTGTAGGTGGGGAAATAGAGATCGTGGGTTGCCAGGCAACTGTGATGACTCCTCCGGTAAGGCTCAGGGGAAGTCCCCCCAGGGTCCAGACCAGAACGTTTTGAAAGAGAATCTCACTGTATCAGAATCCTTTTTTCTTAAAAACTCCAGCTTATGATGAGGAAATCTGCCTACTTCTAGCCAAGATTTGACAAATTCTAGCGTCAAATGATTGAGCCTTTTGCCATTTAGGAACTCACTGTGGTAAGATTTGTCCTCCAGCCTCAGTAGTGCAGTCTCTTGGGGGCGGCCCCCCGACCCCCTCACCGCCCCCGGGCTGTGCCCAGCACACCTGTTGGCCAGGGTGTGAGAAGCCCTAAGCTGTTGCCATGTGATCTGGGCTGCCTTTATTTCTCAGGCCAGGAGGAGCAGCTGCTGAGGACAACAGCTTGCATTACATGGGTTTAGGGAAGGGGTGGGGAGTATGGCTTCTAACATGAAATGCAAAAAACAGCTTCTCATTGTTGAGATTTTTTTTGTTGTTTGTGGTTTTGTTTTTTTTGTTTTTAATGCCTTTGAGGGCATATTATTTTCCTTGTCTGAAACCATACCCCCAAAGTGGCTTTCTTTAGCCCAGGCTGGAAAACTGCTCCTCAACAGCCTTAAGCAATAAATAGATGAGTAGAGAATGTGACTTCAGCTGGGCTTGTTAAAATAAATGTGTCTAATTTTCATTTGAAAGAGCAATAGCTACGGATGGCAAAAGAAGCACATTTAACTTTTGTAGTTTACAGGGTGGTAGAAACAGAAAAATGAAACTTTAAATATCAGCCATTGTCTTAAATTTGTGTTGGCTCGCCAGACAGGGAGGTCACCAGGATATAGTAACCAACTATATTAATGCCTCACCATTCAAATAAAAAGAAATATCTTCTTTGAAGTTGTAAAACTCCAGTAATGATGACAAATAGCTTTTTTGTTGGCCTCTCCATGGTGGGTGGGGGTTATCTAGAGGTGGAAACTGGGAGCATAGCATTTTCCATTGAGAACCACCCCCCCAGCCAGAGTGGGAGTGGGACTGCTGGGCGTGGTCCCGTGGTCCAGCCCTGGGTGTAGGACAGCCACGTAAACTGACCAGTGCTACAACCAGTTTAAAATGGGAGTTTGGGAGTTCTGATCAACAAGGTACCTCTTTGTGGTAGACACAGCCCCAGTGTGCTGGCTTTAATTCTCTCAGTCTCTTTGCCTCTCTTCTGAACCCAAGCCATTTTATAAAGCTCCATCTGCTGTCCCAGCGCTCAGACCCTCCCTCATGTGCTGCTAGTTTCTACTCAAAGTTCATGCAGGACTAATGCTTTTAAAATGAGGTCTAAAAAATAATTACTAATCAAGAGAATTATTTTTTAAACAGAACTGCCTTTTTCTATTCTTTATATAAACTCTATTGTGTTGATCTAACAAGGCACTATTTTAAAATGTTTTAAAAAAATTTCTCCCATAGCACTTAAAAGATATTTTGTAAAGACTTTGCTGTAAAGATTTTGTAATAAAATGGTCTAAGGGCTCCTTCTCTGACATTACCATTTTTAAAAAATGTTTTAAAGGCTAGAAAACAACTTATGTATATTCTGTATATGTATGGCAGCACATTTCATTTATGGAAATATGTTCTCAGAATATTTATTTACTAATATATTTATCTTAAGCCATGTCTTATGTTGAGAGTGTGACATTGTTGGAATAATCATTGAAAATGACTAACATGAGGCCCTGTAAATACATGATAATTGCACACAGATTTTACGTATTTGCCGACCAAAAATGATTTAAAACAAGTTGTAGTCTTCTATGGTTTTGTAACAAATTGTACAAATGACTGTAAAAAAAAATACAATTTTATCAAGTATGTGTTACATGTTGTCATTGCTCTGTCTGGTAAAGGTCTGCAGATTCCACCAACAAGAGGTTTGCATGAAGTGATGCCTTTAACTTCAAATCGCTCGTGGAAGCATCCGTATAATTTCCTCTCTTGTCAACATAAAGTTCAGGTTATTGGGGATTTGGGTGGTGTCATGGGAGAGTATCTGATAGAGAGTGTATGGGATTATGTCCTTGAGGTGGTGGTGGTTTTTCTGCTCAGCCCTGTGTGGAGGGAGTGAGGGAAATGGTAGTCGATCCTAGCAGTCCACTTTTTAAAGATGGGGAATATAGGCTGTATATAAACTGTTGACTTCAACTGCCAGGCCTTTTCCTACCCAGAAGACAGCGACCCTTAAGCCCTTGTTAAGGGAAAGGGGCTTGTAGGAAAAATCCCCTAGCATATAGTCCTCGAAATTCCCTAATCACAAGAGTGGAGGGCAGTCCTCAGTCTGAAGTGAATCCCGTACCCATCTGCCTTGTTTCCCTGGGAGGGCAGTTACTAATTTGTAAAGCACTCTGGGATTACATGGAAGGTGCAAAGTGGTGTTTATTTTTCAGACATCTAGCAGAGAATATCCTGATCCCATGAGCTCCCGTTCCTATTTCTCCGTCTTTAACTTGGGCCATTTCTTGGGCATAGTCTCCTCGTGGACCTCCAGCCGCTTCCTGCCTGGCGACAGGTCCTTCTGAGTGCCTCCGGGGGTGGCAGCCTGGCTGCACAGAGCTTTCCAGAGCCTTTGTTTGATGGCCTTGCCCAACTCCAAGCTGTACCTCTTGGGGGTCCCTGAAGGATTCCACAGCATCGGCTCGACCACAGTGTGGTACAGAGCCCGGTAACTCTCTGTGGGCAGGCCGTGGATAGTTAGCGTGTCCTCTGACAACTGCCGTCTCTTTCTGGTTTCAGGAAGCAACGCTCGGCCCTTCCAGGCTGTTGTCCCAATGTCCCGGGGTAGCACTTGGGTGGCAGCCACATGTTCAGCATATCTGCTCTCAAGATCTTGGCAGACTGTTTCTTTTTTCTCCTTTGAACTTTCTTTGCTCTAGCCAGGAAGAAAGCAGAGAAGTCAAAGCTAAAACTTGAGAAGGGAGCTCAGAATAATTATCTGGGATTTGTGTCCCAGAGTCTTGGTTACAGCCACAACCAACATTTGTCTAGCATGTTCTAGTTTACTGAATTCCTTCATGTATACCACGGCATGCGCTCTCCATAACCCTGTAAGGTCAGCAGGAGACAGCTTTAAAGGCAAGGAAATTGGAATTGGTTTGCCCAAGGCCACACAGCTGGAAGGTTAATAACCGCAGTTGTCATCTATTGAATGCCACGCAGGATCCTAAGCATTTACTCTGTGCCAGGCTCTGTTCAAAAGCCCTTTGCGTGTATTAACTCATTTAATCCTCTTGAGACCCTATGAGGGAAAGGCTGTTATTCCCCATTTTGTAGAAGACAAAAACCGAGGCAGAAAGAGACTAAGCCCACAGTTGTCGTCAATTATAGTCAGAGTTGGTATTTGAACCCTGACAGCCTAGCTCCAGGGTGCCTAGGCAGACTGTAAATAGGTAGTGACCCCAGATCTGGTACTCCCTCCACTATATCATGCTGCCTTCCCCGACCCCCATTCCCACCCCCAACCATCGTCCACAGCACCCCCACACAATCCTGTCTTTCAGATTTTCTTCACTTCATATAACTCTCTTAAGCATTAACTGTTCTCTGGCTTACATTTCCCTCTCCCCACTCCATCACATTTCCTCACCCCCAGCCGTCATCTACCTCATTGATGCCTCCTGCAGGCCTCCTGCACCTAGGTGAGCCCGGCCCCTGCCCCACTGGTCGCAGGCTCTTGGGACTGATGGAGTTTCTTATCCTGCCCAGCTGGGTGGCTTTCATTGCTGAATTGTCCTTGGGCTTTAATCTCTTCGAGGGTTTTGCTTCTCCAAACTTGCGTGGTACTGGGCAGCATTTATCCTTCAGTGGTCGTCGCCTGAGCACCAGCTTAACCAGGGAGAACGAACTGGCAATTAACGGATTCTTTACAACTTCCCAGGAAGAGGTGGTACCTGGCGGTGGGGCATTGATGTTCTGCTTTGCGCACGTTCTGCCTGTCCAGATGTTGGTGAGGGCAGGCGAGTCCACATAGCAGTCCTGAAGCCTGGTGTTCAGTAAAATAGACTGTCGGAGTCCATAGGTGGGGATGCTGGCGTCTCGTCTCGCATGGATTGGATGCTAGAATTATATGGGGAAAAAAATGGAATAAAAAAGTCTCAAGCAGAGACTAGAAGGCCTACTTTGGAGGCAAAAGTATTAACATCTTTTTATAGACCATTCCTTCTACACAGCTCTTAGAAATCTTTCTACACCTCCTCTCTCCTGCTCACCAAAGCCTTTCGTACCAAGCAGGGAAGTGATAGTAATTTCACAAGGTCACGGTGATATTCATGCTCTGAAAGAACACAGCATGCTCAGGCTGGAAGTGAAGGGTCACGGGGCATTTATAAGGAATCAAAGACAATTCCCGTCTTCTGGAAAGCTAAGGGAACCCATTGCAGGAAAGGAATGGGAGACAGGACCACTTCAAGGTTCCCATAGGATCTGTAGTGACTCCTCAACCATGTTGCAACACGGAAATGACAGCAGGTAAACTTCTGCCACACCCTGAATACACTTTCTAACCAGACTCCCATGAGCCAAGAGAGCTGCTCAACAGGGAAATATACGCTGGGGTCCATACAAGCAAAAGCACAATGTAAATGATGCTGGTCTCCATTTCCTGGGACCAGCCGTGAACAAGAGAACAATTTGGATAGATTAGAATCACACTCTTAAAAGAGACCTGGCTTTCTAAGAAATGTCATCTATAAAAAATAAAATCACCTTACCATATTTCGGTTGCCTTAAATTTTATTTTAGCTAGCTTAGTAGGGGGAAGAAATATGTATTTTCTTTTCCCTTTTTCTCTCTTTTTGTTTTGTTTTGTTTTAATATTTCTAGTCACTGTCTTTCTCTGCCTCAGTCATGTATGGGCAAACTGTAGTTTGCTCAGATTTTGGCTCACGTGCTGGCACTTTTGAACCATTATCTCTAGTATTTGTGATGTCACTTTGGTTTGTGATGTGGGTGTGGATGGGTGTTACATCATCGGATTTTATAGTTAAATTATGTTGGAAGAAGTTCTGTTTTATTGTGCTTACAGACTGAGGGACTTCTGAAGTCCTCATTCCCCCCAAAATGGCTTCGGCGAATTTTGAAGGTCCTAACGTTCTTAAGAAGCATGCTTTGCACACAACGTAGTCAAATATGCAGACCAGATTCGTGGATACAGGTGGTGAGATGCATCCTTACATGTGCAAAAGTGCCCTTCTCCATGCACATAAAGAAGGTACTGTTAAATTCTCAGAATAGCTGCCAAGGTTAGGGACCAGAAATGAAAGAACACGTTCCTGCAGCCCTGGGCACCTCTCCCTGCGTGTCTCTCCCCAGGAGACTACATGGTTTCTGGAATGTGGTTTTATTTTACATCCCATGGCAAATGCAGTAATTAGAGCTGTTAGCAGTGTCAAGGGCTTGAAATGAGAACAAAGACGCCTCTTCCTGGGAACTCTTGGGCAATGCCTAGCTCCTTATCAGGTGCTTGTCCTGTTGGTGGTTTTCATTTCTCATATGCAAAATGCCAAAGGAGGCTCCCTCCCAAGGGGGAGGAGAGCGAAATGATGGAAAAACAGAGTATGAGTCTGGCAGGCGTTCCTGGAATCGCATGTGTTGCCTGTCTGATTTTTCAAGTGTTGTCCCTGGAGTGAATCAAAGTCTGCAGGCAGACTGCACCGCAGGCCGTGGGGGAACCACCTCCAGGACGACGGCGTCTGGACCCACAGACGCTTGGGAGGACAATGGGGCCCATTCAGTGGCGAGCCCTGGCCTCACCTCCCAAGAGGTGGGTCAGTTTTAGAGCAGGGCGTTGGAAAGGGTTTGTCTTTGGGAAGGGTTTGCAGATGTCTGGAGACTGGGCAGGCAAGCATCCTTTCAAAGCTGGTGAATCTTGGAGAGGTGGCACCAGGCTCTTGGGCTACTGTCTGCCTTTACTCTGCAGGAAGAGACAGAAGCAAACAGAGGGCAAGAAAGGCATCCTAGAAGCAGGTCTTCTGTTTCTCTTCTCTCCTTCCCCATCTGGCTTTCCCATACCTCCTCTTTCCGGACACTCATCTGTTGTGTTTACTTTCCTAGGCCTCTTACTCAATGACTATGTGACACTACTCTAGCTCTGAGGAGCATTCAGAAGCTCCTTCTAGCACAGAGCTGTTCACATGGACGGCATACTCTGCAAATTCGATCAAATTCTGCCTTCTGTCCCTTCAGTGTAATTCACTTTAATTGACTGTGCCCCAACAGGAAACCCTCATGCTTCTTAGAACTCACCCAGGTTAATCTGGCCTGTGCTGTTGTTTCTATGTCAGTAAAATCCGTATTTATTGAATACGTACTGTAGGCCGGGTACTATTCTAGGCACTTCACAAGCATCATCTCATGAAATGCTACCAATAGTCTTATGAGTTTGGGCACTGTTGCCATCCCTACTTTACAGATGAAGAAACTGACACACAAGGTGCTCAAGAACCATGCCCCAGGTCCCAGAGCTAGTAACCCACAAAGGCTGGACTCAAACAAGGTCTACACCACTTTTGCTCTTAACTACTCAGATCACTGTGATGCTTTGCCTCTCATCTAGTCGGCCCATCCACATACCACCCCTGGCCCCAGTTCTTGTCCTATTCTTGTCGTAAGACTGTCTCTGGGCTCAGGACTCAGTCTTCCTGAGTTGACATCCAAGATCCTTCTCTCAATGAATTCACATCTCTGAGCCTTACTTTTCTCATCTGTGAAATATGGATAGTATAGTAATAGTGCCTACTCCAAGATTACTGTGAGGATGAAATAGGACTACAAATGAAGCACTTGGCATGGCTCCTGGCGCACAGTAAGCACTCAATAAATAATGTACTTATTAAAGTTATTAATATTGTGACCCATTCGCCCATCCGACCCTTTCTTGAGCCCCTGTTGCTCATGGTCTGAATGACATCACCCAACACTTGATGTGAACTTCATCTCAGGTCCTTCACGGGCACCCATCTGGTTTATGAGGATAAGCAACGAGTCTCTTCAAGTGGAGAATGATTCTGATCTGACTTGGGTATCATGACATTTCTTTTCCCATGACCCGTCTTCCCTAAACACTTGTCAGATTCATCGACCTCACAGAAGTGGTGTATTTACAGGAGCTACACTTCCCCCTGGTTGTGGGAGTCGTCCAGACTATCCTATGCTTTGTTAGACAGAAAGGGAAGCGAGTACCTGAGGATACGCTTAGGAGAGTGACTAGTCTTTAACAGGAATTGTTCCATCGAAAGTTGCTCAGAATTATAAAGTCAGGATGGAAAGACTTTATCTGGTCCAGGGCCCGGAAGCCACGGCAAGAGATTCCATCGTTGGTGCCAACACTTGATCCAGAGAACTTGGGGTTGAGGCAGTAGGACTTCCGTGTTGCTGAGAGGCCTGTCCCTCAGTTTGATTCTCCAATGAATCTTTTTATTCCGCTGAGCTCAGTCTAAATAACCTTTATTTTTCCACCCATCATTTGGCGCTGTGCTTCCTGACATATCTAAACCACCACTTCTATTTGGAAACACATCTGCCCTTCTTTGATGCTTAGCCAAGCTCTCCTCACTGTATTTTTAGCTCCTATAATCTTCCTTCTTTCTTTTTTCTTTTCTACTACCTTTCTTCTCTTTAGTTTCTTTTAGCGCCTATTCTCTTTCTGGAGGATCAGCTAATAAAGAGGAAATTGAGCCAATTTATATTAGTTTTTATTTTCCCCCTTTATGCCCCACCCCCCAAATTCTAGTGGAATTTGGTTGTTGTTAATTTCCTCAGAAGACGTTTTTATTTTAACACCCAAGCAATAAACGTCCACACCCATCTGGGGATGTGTCTGAGGTTCATGATGCATAAGGTTTAGGAAAGGAGAAAAACTTTGGATGAGAGAATTTGAAAAGGTTCCTGAATCATGACGCAAAGTCTGAGGACAGTCACTTAGACCATATGTGTGGAAGCCACACCTACCGTGGGCCAAGTCTGTGAAATGAAGGTGCCCTGCCCGCTCGGCAACCCTTCTCACCGGACTCTGGGTTCTCACATGTCACCTACATGTCCCACAGACACCTCTAACTCATGATGCTCCAGACCAAGTTCCTTCTCTCCCCTCACCCCCATTAGAACAAGTCAACTACTACTTCTCTTGAATTTCCCGTCACTAGTTGCCTGACCTAGAAACCTGGGAGACAAGATCAGAAATGGTACTGTGCTGAGCCGAGCCTGAGGCTAAAGGAAAATCAGGATTGTAGATGCTATTTTTATTTAAAATTTTGATATTTTGTTCATCATGGATTTTTCTGGCATTCATTTAGATTTTTTAGATTTTTTTATCTTTCCTTCTTCTCTCCAAAGCCCCTTAGTACATAGTCGTATATTTTAGTTGTGGGTCCTTCTAGTTGTGGCATGTGGGATGCCGCCTCAGCATGGCCTGATGAGTGGTGCTAGGTCTCTGCCCAGGATTGAAACCGGCGAAACCCTGGGCTGCCAAAGCAGAGTGGGGGAACTTAACCACCCAGCCACGGGGCCAGCCCCCATTTAGAATTTTTAAAACATAGCATTAAACTACTGTTTATTAAATATATATATATATTTATTTTTTTTTGAGGAAGATTAGCCCTGAGCTAACATCTGCTGCCAATCCTCCTCTTTTTGCTGAGGAAGGCTGGCCCTGAGCTAACATCCGTGCCCATCTTCATCTACTTTATATGTGGGACGCCTACCACAGCATGGCTTGCCAAGCGGTGCCATGTCCGCACCCAGGATCTGAACTGGCAAAACCCGGGCCGCTGAAGTGGAACATGAGCACTTAACCACTGTGCCACCGGGCCGGCCCCTATTAAATATAGTTTTAAATTTATTAAAGAATATTTATTTGTCTTGATTACTGAGTTTTTGGGACCCCTTAAATTTTGTGCCTGAGGCAAATGCCTCGCTTGCTTCACCCTGATCCTGGCTCTGGACTACTCAGTAAGCATTTGTTGCCAGAACCCCATAGGGACAAGGAGGCAATTCACCATGGGGGTTAAGAGGGTAGGTCTGGAGTCCCTTGCCTGAGTTCAAAGCCCAGCTCCACCACTTTGTGTCTTTTGGGCAAGTCACTTAACCTCTGTGTAGGAGGGGAGTGGTAAGGGTGCCTCCCTCCTCAGGCTACTGGGAGCATTATGTGAATTGTGGAGGCTAGCAGTGCACACTGCCTACAGCTCAGCAAAGTCTTCAGGAAGTGTTTGCTATTGTTATTATAATCAGGCTCCTCTTCCAGTGCTCTCTCCCCAACATGCCCTGTGAACAGAAATCATCCCAACTGGAGTTGCAAAGATACTAAGATGACCCAAACTCCACCAGCTGAGATCTCCCAGCTTCTTGGCAAATCCCGCTGCCCTTAGAGGAATCGAACAGCCTGACTGCAGAGCGCAAGCAGGCCAACAGACACACAGACATCTTCCTGGAGGCCCCGGGGCTGCAGTCAATGTCCTCACTCTTTCCATGAAATAAAGCTGCTAAATGACCGAGGCATGTGAAGCATTGAAATGAATATCTCAGGCTGCTCCTTGCTGGGAGCCAGGACCACATAACTGAGCAAAAGACCTTGAGCCATTAAGAGCCCTGACCTAGACCCGCTCGGCTGTATTTTTAGCTTCTGTGCACTGTTTCCATCACCTGTGCTGGACTTTAAGCTGGAAAAGAGGGAAGGGAGGCCTGGGGAAAACTACAGGGATGTTTCTCATAGCGGCCAGTGGGGGCAGGGCCTTGCACACTATTTCTGAGTTCTGTTGTATAAGCCGGTTTTATGGGCGTGCAACCTGTGTAGTGGCACAGGTCCCTGCACTTAGAAGGGTCCCATGAGGCCGGCCCCGTGGCGCAGTGGTTAAGTGCTCAAGTTCCACTTCGGCGGCCTGGGGTTCGCTGGTTCGGATCCTGGGTGTGGACATGGCACCGCTTGGCAAGCCATGCTGTGGCAGGCGTCCCACATATAAAGTAGAGGAAGATGGGTATGGATGTTAGCTGAGGGCCAGTCTTCCTCAGCAAAAAGAGGAGGATTGGCAGCAGTTAGCTCAGGGCTAATCTTCCTCAAAAAAAAAAAAAAAAAAAGGGTCCCATGCTTGCTTTAATGCTTTATTGCAACCATCTTGAAATTCTTAATAATTTTGTACAAGAGACCCCACATTTTCATTTCTCCCTGGGCCCTGCAAATTACATATCCTGTCCTGGTTGTACACAAGACACTGAAGCTAAAAGAAGGAAGAGAGCTTGTACCCACCCAGCGGGGGTGCCTTCCTGCAGAGGGGTGGGAGAGGCCAAAGCTGCTTTTAAGAGGCACGGATCCCCAGACTTGTCCAAATAAACCTTATTTTTAACCTTCTCTCTGCCCTTTCCTATTTCCTCCTCTGAAACTGGGTTGAGATGCAAAAGAACCGTGTAAACTGTAGAGAGCTGTGTCCTGCTTTGCTAAAACCTTTCCCCAACATCCTATTTAAAACAGCCCACGGATCGTTCTCTGTCAACAACATCATTTTCTTGTCTTTGCAGTACTTTTTGCTCTCTGAAATTCACATTTTTTCATGTTGATTGACTGGTCCCATTAGAAAGCAAGCGGTAGGAGGAAGACACGGGCTTGTCTTGTTGGGGCTGTGTCTTCAGCTCTGGGCATGTTCCTCCCTGAATATTTGTTGGATGGAGGAAGGGTCACCTTTGTTGAGTGCTTGCTTTGTGCTGATGGTTCCACCTGCAGCTGCTCATCTCATTCTCCCTGAAGGAGCTCCTGCCGGCGAGTTTGCAAGTTAAAGGTGAAGAGTTCCCAGGTCCTCCCAGGAGGAGATGGTTTTGGAGGTGGGGAAGGGCCCAAAATGGTGCCGAAGAGAGAGGGTGAGCAAGAGTGGGAGACACCATGGTGGGGTGCGGAGGGTGTGTCCCCAGGGACCGGGTGTCGCTGGGTGGGTGGGGGGTGACCCCCTGCTCCAATAAGGTGCCCAGAGTATTTTTGAACTCGGGAATGACACAGTGAAAACAAGGACTGCACAAGATGCTTCTTGCCGTGGCGCTGAGTCCTGTGGGTGGAGAGGGACTGAGACTGAGAGGCCTCGTGGGAGGTAGCTGCTCTCTTTAGGGCCCAGCCTTGGGAGCAACTGGGGGTGGGGGTTGGGGGAGGCGGACCCTGGGAGTGGGCGAGGGGAGCGTTTCGGGGTGGCGAGAGGGGGCGTAGGGGCCAGTGTACCTAAGGCGGGCCCCGGAGCCCGCAGGGCCAGGACCGCCCCAGCCCGGCTCTGGGCGCGGCGAGTCGGCACACGAGGGCAGACGCTCCCGCCGCCGCGCGGGGCGCAGGCCCGCACTTGCAAGCCGGGACCAGGGACTTGAAAGCGCCCGGCGCGCCGCCCGGACCTGCCCCGCGGGGCGTCACCGCGGCGCTTTAGGCGGGAGCCCAAGGAAAATCTCCTCTGTCTGGGGGCAGTGCGGGGGAGGAGGGAAGCCCAAGACAGACCCCAGTGCAGCCAGGGAAGACCTGAGGGGGCGGGGGACAAAGGGTCTGCCACGCGGGGGCCGAGAGTTTAAGCAAGCCCAGCGCTCTCTGAGCCCGTGTCCCAGGCTGTAAGGAAGCATCATTGCCCCATCCACTTCTGCACTTTCTCTGCGTCGGGCGGTCCATTTGCTTCTATCTTATATAATCCTGTGAAGGTCCTTATTCCCATTTTGCAGATGACTGAGGCTCAGACAGAGCAGGAAACGTGCCCCCGTTGACAAAGGATGTGTAATAGGATTCAGAACCCGAATTCAGAACCATTCAGTATGCTGCCTCCCTGCCTGCAAGAATCGGATGGTGAAAGGAACACAACATTTTCGAAGTTCCTACTGTGCGTGTGTAAGTTTCCCTGCATTGCCTCACTTACTACAACCGCTTTGGGAGTAGTTGCTATAACGCCCCCATTTAACAGATGAGGAAATTGCAGTAAGAGCTATTTTTTCTTTAAATCTGACCAAGGTTTTATAGGTGACGGAGGGGGATATGAATCCAGACAGGCTGATTCCAGAGCACTCTGTTTCAAACCACTATGACGAGCCAAGCAGGGAAAAGTGGTTTGCAAACTGCTGTTCTGATTATTACCGCTGCGGTCGAGCCCGCGTGAGGGTCACGACCTGAGCGAAGGTGGAGCAGGGGTCACCGGGCGCCCGGCCCGTTCCAGCCGGGCCAAACCTCTGGGAGGGGACTCGGAGGCGGGGCCCAAGACCCCGCCCTTCACCTGCTGGCCCCGCCCCTATGTCGGACCAATAAAGTGCTCCGCGGGGGGGGGGGGGAGGCCAGGTGAGGAGGGGGTGTGGGCGGGGCCTGGTGCGTGAGTGGCAGGCGCGGCGCGCGGGCGGGGCGAGCGGGCGTGCGCAGTCGGCCGCGGGCCTGGCGGCGGGGCCGGGCGGGCTCGGGCGGCCGGGGCGGTGGCGGCTCTGGGGAGGGCGGGCCGGGGCGGGGCGGCCGGGCGGCCGGGGCGGGGCCACGCCGGAGCCCCGCGTCCCGCTCCCATGGCCGCCCCCGGCTCCCGGCGCTGCCCCCTCTCCCCCGGGCCGCGCCCCGGGGTCCCGCACTGACGGCCCATGGCGCCGCCCGCCGCCCGCCTCGCCCTGCTCTCCGCCGCCGCGCTCACGCTGGCGGCCCGGCCCGCGCCCAGCCCCGGCCTCGGCCCCGGACCCGGTGAGTGAGCGACCCCCGGCGCCCGCCCCGCGCGGAGCCCGCCCGGGGCGCCCAACCCCCTCGCCCCTACCCTCCGGGACCCCTTCTGCAAGCCCCTTAGCGACGCCCCTCGGGGCGCGCCGGTCCCCCGCCCCAAGACCCGGGACTCTCCCAGGTCTCCCAGCGACGCCCCCGGGCCCGGCCGGTGCCCACCGCCTCGGGACCCGGGAGTCCTTTAGCGACGCCCCTTAGGCCGGGACGCCCCCTCTGCCGAGCTCCTCAGCGACGCCCCCGGGCTGGGACGTCCCCTGTCTCAGGACCCGGGACCTCCTGCTCAAGTCCCCCCGGGCCAAGACGCCCCCTCTGTCCCCGTGCCTCCTGGGATCTCGCCCCTAAATCTTCCCGCGACGCACCTCGGGCCGGGACGCTCCCCCACCCGCCTCAAGACGCGGCACTCCCTCCCCAACCCCTCGGCGACACCCCCGGGCCAGGATCCCCCCCGCGCCCCGCAGCCCTCCCACTGACGCCGGCGGACCCCCGCGCCTCCCGCCCGGCCCCGCTGCCCGGTCCCGGCTGCGCCCGCTGGCCCGGCGCTGTAATCCCGGCCCCGCGAGGACTCGAGGTGACTTGCGCGCCCTGCAAGAGGCGGGTCCGGCCAGGGACGCCCCGCTGTACCCCGCCGGGACGCCCCCTCCCGTCCCCGGCGCCGCTTTGAACTACCCCATAACTCAGCGGCCGGCCCAGCCTGGAGAGGAAGAAAGGAGGGGTGATGGGAAACTTCTCCCCTACAGAGTCTAGGGGGCTCCTCCTGAGGGTGCAGCACAGAGCCCCGTTTCCAGGGTAGCCCCACACGTTAGACAGGGTCACCTGCTCCCGAGGCCAATGCCAAGGCCAGGGTCCTCCCCAGGTGGGGCCCTGGACCAGGATGGAAGCTGGGACTTGGCTTAGCTTCCCCACGCACCCTTCCTTGCAGCAGAACTCTTTCCAAGTTGAAGAGCAGGCGAGAGGGCGTTGTCTGGCCCGGTTACTTTCTCGGCAGGTTGTTTGGGTGTGGGGATTGGGCCTTAGCGAAGGAGACGGGAAGAGTTCATTACTGATTTGCCCGAGCAGGAAAACCGGCCTCTGGGCTCTCCACCCAAAGTCGCAGACTGTGATGTTGGAAAGACAGGACTCTGCTCCTGAAAGAAAACTCAGAGTTGCTTTGTTTACTTACCCGCTTGGATTAGTGAAAAAGATAGGACTTCGTGTCCCTTACTGTGTGACTTGGGGCCGTGCCTTCAGCTCCCTGAGCTTCAGTTTCCTCCTCTGTAAAGGAAGGATAATGGTAACTCCCCTTCAGGGTGTTGTGAAGATTAAATGGTATGCTGCAGGTGCCCATCTGCACATAGAAGGCAGTCAATAAACATGTTTTAATAAGACTGTTTATAGTGCTTCGCAGTTCACCGCGTGCTAGACACCTCATTTGCCCTCGGAATGCTAGGAGCTTCCAGTCTGATGAATCCCTGTGAAAAAGGCAAAGCTTGGCTTTAGATGGGTAGAAGGGGCATCTCTCAGTGCCGTAAACCTTAGGCTCAGGAAGTGGTTTCCCAGTGATCGGCTGCTTTCTAAGGGACTTCGGCAAAAAACTTCTACGGAGGTTTGATCACTTCTCCTGTTTGCCGTTCTGTGAGAAATGAAGGAGGAACTTTCTGAGAGCCAGTATATGTCAACAAAACCGTAACCTAGTAACCCCTTAGCTCCACTTTGCCATCTGTGTGGTCAGGATTTGATGTCCTCTAGGGAGAGAGAGGTATGGGTGGAAACAGAGTGGTTCTCCTTCTGGAACGGGTGGAGTGGTAGCTCTGAGAAGTGTTAAATGAGCCAACTCTGTGTTTACGCTTGTTAGAAGGTGGCATCTCTCCTCAGGCACCTTTGCTTTGCTAGGGAGGGTCAAAGGCAACACCTCTTAGGTAGTTTAAACCTCAGACCTTGCTGTGCTTTTATTTGGGACTTTGAGATGGGGAAAAATAAATAATCGTTGTGAATTTTTTTGTGATGTGTCCCAAGTTCCCACTTCACGGAGCCTCACCAGCTCTTTCCCTACCGTCCTGATACATCAGTGCTTTTATGAGTTTTCCTCTTTAGTTCTAGAAGCTGTTTTAGGTAGGTGGCACGTGGTCCTCAGCATCACATCCTGTTTAGAGCCTACCCAAGAGTTTTTAAAATCCTTTCCAATAAAAAACACGTTTTAGGAGCTGCCTGGTGACATAGGGGTTAAGTTCGCATGCTCCACGTTGGCCCGGGGTTTGTTGGTTCGGTCCCAGGGGTGGCCCTACATACCACTCATCAAGCCATGCTGTGGCAGCATCCCACATACAAAATAGAGGAAGACTGGCACAGATGTTAGCTCAGGGCCAATCTTCCTCAAGCAAAAAGAGGAAGATTGATAACAGATGTTAGCTCAGGGCCAATCTTCCTCACCAGAGGGGGGAAAAATAAAAACACATTTTGCTCTGAGGATATGCCAAACTTGCCATTTTATATTTTTTGATACTGTAATTTTCTCTAAAATTTTGTGGATGGAAAAAATTATTTCAATACTTATATTCTGCACAATTTTGTAATATTTAAATTACTGGTGGTTTGCATTTTTGAATGCTGACTTTATAAAAACAGTTAGCTCATTCCCCGTCAATGTGACTTCTAATTACAGTGTGTAGCCAACCCCAAATGATCTCCCTTCTCTTCATTCTTTCTTTGAGGTTCTCTTCCTTCCTCCCTTCACAACTGATAAGGAAGAAGATAGAAGTTAATGGTGGAATCTAGACTCCCTCTTCAAGGACGAAGGCAGCGGGGGTCATGGGACTGATGGGCTGTCTGAAGTGGGCTCCCATCTGGAATTTACTGACTGTAGAGGAGAGCGGAGAGATAGGAAGAGCAGAGAAGGCTGGATGGACCTTGGCTATTTGAGTTTTCCACCCAAGGAAAACTACCTGCTTGGGTGTTTCACTACATTTGGGGGCTGTCAGATATGCATCAACAGAGCTTCTCAGCTCAGGTTACATTTGCTGGGAACAGCCTTTTATAGTCGCTGTTCATTCTCCTCTAACTCCTCATCTAGAATTCCTCCCATTAACCAATGGTAGGTCTTGCCGTAAAAGCTATGAGTTCAGTTAACAGTGAGAGCTTCATACTGTACAGGGCCCTGTCCCTTGTGAGGACTTCTTTATTTTTTTTTATTTTTTATTTTTTTATTTTAAAGATTTTATTTTTTTCCTTTTTCTCCCCAAAGCCCCCCGGTACATAGTTGCATATTCTTCGTTGTGGGTCCTTCTGGTTGTGACATGTGGGACGCTGCCTCAGCGTGGTTTGATGAGTAGTGCCACGTCCACGCCCATGATTCGAACCAACGAAACACTGGGCCGCCTGCAGCCGAGCTTGCAAACTTAACCACTCGGCCACGGGGCCAGCCCTGAGGGCTTCTTTAATGTTAAAAGAATTACCTGTATGCAACATAGGGGCTGAGAGGAGTAAAGTGGACTTACACGCATACCAGTTACTTTTATGCTTTTGAGTTTTTTGTTGTTGTTTTTGAGGAAAATTAGCCCAGAGCTAACTGCCAATCCTCCTTTTTTTTGCTGAGGAAGACTGGCCCTGAGCTAACATCCATACCCATCTTCCTCTACTTTATATATGGGACTCCTACCACAGCATGGTGTGCCAAGCGGTGCCATGTCCGCACCTGGGATCCGAACCGGCGAACCCCGGGCTGCTGAAGCATACCGTGTGCACTTAACCGCTGCACCACCAGCCGGCCCTATGCTTTGAGTATTTTCAGAAACTCAAAACTGGCATGATATCAAACAACTCGGATCTTTCTGTGAAAATTTGTTTTGGCCCCAAGACCAGGCTATTTAAATGTTTGAGATAGGCAATGAGACCTTCTGTAAATCTTAAAGCAAAAAAGGAGTTCCGTTTTGACTCACTACTAAGACATAGCAAGTTGGTACACTTAATTTAGATACTATTGATACCCTGACTAATGATTTAGCATAGATGGATCAACAGCAGTAAATGACGAAGAGAAAATACATCGCTTTAAATAGCTGCACAATATACGAATTAGGGATTTTTGAATGATGGGCAATATGCTATCTTTAGTTTAGAATTTTTGAGCCTGTAATGCCATCTGACGCTCTAGGCCAAGTGTTGGGATTTTTTGTAAAGGGTCAGACAGTAAATAATTTGGGCTTTGTGGGCCATGTACTGTCTCTGTTGCAATTACTCAGCTCTGACTTTGCAGGGCAAAAGCAGCCGTAGACAAAGTGTTCATCAGTGGGCGTGGCTGTCTTCCAACAAGACTCAATGGACACTGAAATTTGAATTTCATGTAATTTTTATATGTCACAAATATTCTTTTGACTGTTCTTTTGATCATTTTGAACCATTTAAAATTTTAGGGGCCGGCCTGGTGGCGCAGCGGTTAAGTTCGCATGTTCTGTTTCAGCGGCCTGGGGTTCACTGGTTCGGATCCCTGGTGCAGACATGGCACCACTTGACAAGCCATGCTGTGGTAGGCATCCCACATATAAAGTAGAGGAAGATGGGCACAGATGTTAGCTCAGTGCCAGCTTTCCTCAGCAAAAAAGAGGAGGAATGGCAGCAGATGTTAGCTTAGGGCTAATCTTCCTCAAGAAAAAAAAAATTTTCAATTTTAAAAACCATTCTCATAGCTCATGGGCCTTACAGAAACAGGAAGTGAGCCAGATTTGGCCTGCAGGCTCTGCCAGGTCCTGCTCTAGGTCCGTATGTATTGATTTTTTCCCAGTATTCACTGGTCTGGAATGGTGACAAGGAGGCTTGATTTTGGTGAATGAATGAACCTTTTACCTTTCACTATTAACTAACTTTAAGAGAGGTATGGGAGAAATGGTTAAAATGGTAAATTTTATGTTATGTATATTTTACCATAAATTTTTTAAAAGATTCACATGGGGAGAAGTTCGGACACATACGTTTGGATCTTTAATACGACTTTTAAAAAAATGCTTTAAAAAGAAATTCAGTATGGTTCCGTGTGTAGTGCATAAAGATAATAGTGCCTGCCTCAGAACTGGCCCGTGGTTTGTTCAACCAAGCAGAAGGAGCTTGGAACTAACCGTTGAGAGATCTGTTTCTCAGAGGAAAGCCCAGGCAGCAGGTGGCACCAGCCCTGAGACATAGAAAAACAGGGGGGAAAAAAAGAAGAAGAAGAAAACAAATTCAACAGTTGAATTTTATTTCCATGGTTCCATCGTCATTTTTAAAGCGGCCTTTAAAAGACGACAGTGTGCTTAGCGTGGCTGATTATTTTGTTTTAATTAAAACATTTTTGAAAAAACAAAATGAAACATTCAAACATACCAAGTTGATTGTGTTTGTTCTGTGGAACAGTTAATGCAAAACACTTGAGAGAGGCCGGAAGTTTGGGTCTGTAGCTTTTGCCTGAGTTTTTGCCTCCTGAATAGGACAACAGAGGAGGAAGTGAACGTGTCCCTTAAAAGACTACCTCTGCAGGTTTTGCGGTGAGATCTCCTCAAGCGCCCTGACGCCACTTGGCAGGTGGGTTTCTGACTGGCTCACTGTGCAGCCCCTGAAAGGGTGAGAACAATGACTGACATTCTTCCATATTCAGTTTGACCTTGAGAATCCGGCTGGAACCCAGAAGTATTAGTCTGGCAGTAGCAGCCCAAAGTCACTCTGTTTTTTTCCCTCTCTCTGTTGTCTTTAGTGTATTCCTCTCAAGATAGCAGTTGTTTCTTCCCCAGCCCTCATCTCTGAGACGTTATCCTGGGTTCAGACTGAACAGGGAAAGGAAAGAGGCCATTGTAGGAATGTCAGAAGGGTGTCCATACTCCTCAAAAATAGCCAGTCTCCAGAAACTGGCCTTCTCCTCTAAGGAAACCGCCCCCCTCCCCCTTCCTTTTAATCCTCTTTCTAGGTAAACACCTTCCTAGCCTGGACTTGCACCAGTTTGAAGAGGAATGAAGTTGGATGCTAAGAAGCGCCTCTTAGACAAAAGATTTTAGGCCACCTCACATGCAAGGTCTCCTCTCTCCTTCCCGGTTATGACAGGACACGCTTAGGGCTGCCCCGCTGCTGGGCCCAGCTTCTAGCTTCTCTTGCCACTGATTTAATCCGTGGCAAGTCGCCAAGGCATTAAACTTTTATTGTTCAATCTACCGCAAGGGCGGGGCCCTGCTGCTAGTGGGCTGAGGAGGCTGCAGCCGCTTCCAAACCCGAGTGTCACACCACATTAGCAACTTCAGACTTTGAGGGCTGGATTGCTTTCAGTTTGGTTAGATTCTTGGTTAGAAGCAGAACAGTATACTCACACTCAAAGTTTGAAAGCTAGGAAATAGTAAAAACAGCACAGGCAGCTTTTAAAGATGATTCCAAATGGTTGCAGCATCAGCCTACGGAACTACGTCTCCATGGTCTCTTTATACCTTCCAAACAGATATGTTTAATGGCCATCTGTGTTCCTTGGTGTCCTAAAGTTGGATCAAAACATGGCGACCAAGTAGTTCTCTTCTAGGATAGTAAGGATTGTTAACCAGGGCCATCACAGTATGTAAATTACTTGCTGCTGTTCAATCTCTAAAAATTCATCTTCAAAGAAAATTATTGGGCTGGTAAAAATATTTTTAATAATGACCACAGAAGCCATATTTGTTTTTCTTTGATGTTCTTCCGAAGACTCTTCTGGTTTTAATCAGATTGTTCCCACATAAAATACAGTGGAAATCTACAATAATAAAATCCCTATTCCTGTGTCTATGGGGAAATAAACAGGATGGGGACTGTCCTTTTAAGGGGCTTTTCCCTTCCCTTTCCCCAGACTCAAAGCCTCTATTACTGGTGGGTGTTTTGGCATCAGTTAAGGGCCTTCAATCCTTCCCTCCCTCCACGTTTTGCTCTTTCATTAAAGTGTTTCTGTTGTCTAATTATATCCTTTCAATCAAATTAGAGACTGCAGCATCTGGTGAGGGCCATAACTGCTGCCATCTGCACCTCGTATATACAGGCCTTTTCAGCTGAGAATCACTCAACTTCC